TCCAGCCTTCCTTGATGGGGACCCTTTGCAGACACAGCCTGTGCTAGACCCTCATCCAGGCTCATGGCTCACTCGCTGCCCTCTCTCCTTCACAGCCACCTTCTCCCGAAAGCTGCTTTCAAGTCCCTCCAGCATGGGGCCTCCCAATGCGCAAAGGTCTTCAGGCTTCACTCTTTCCCGTTACATTAATTTTGGCTTTGAAGCCTCCAGGGGTCAGGATTAGAAAGAAGAGCTCAGTGAGCAGGAATGACAGCAGCTGGATGTGTGAGGGGGAGAGTCAGGGGAAGGCAGCATGCCCCAAGGGGGGGCCCCCCCGCTGTGGAAATGATAGCATTTTCCCGCTAGGATCCCCAACTTGAGCAACCAGAACATGGATCACTCCCCTTTCCATTCCCACCCAGGCTGTGCCCAAACTGGGGCTGTTCTTTGTGGAGGCTGCCCCCCCACCACCACCACCTCTCCTGTCTTAACATCTGTAAGACTTGGGGGGGGGGGTGCTCCTTGAGGGGAAGATGTTCTCAATTTAGAAATACGTCGTCAGCCCGCTTGGGGCCCCCGAGAAAGGATGCGAAAGAGAAAGTTCAAGGGGGGGGGGAGGAATCAGGGCGCGGGCGAGAAGAGGCGGGGCGGCGAGGCCTCCCGGGCAGAGCCCCAAGCGTCCCCGTCAGGTCAGTCGCTGTCGCTCTTGTCCACCAGCACGGCGTCCGACTCCTCGGTGATCTCCAGCAGCGTGTGCACGTCGGGGCTGCTGCCGCGCAGCAAGTCGAGGGCCTCGCCCCGCTCGGCGCCGCCCTCCTCGTCGTCGTTGCCCACCTCCACCATCTCCGTGGCCTTCAGCACCTCCACCTCGCCCTCGCGGATCTTCTTGACGTGGAAGGTGAAGGGGGGCACCTTGTAGACGGCCGTCTTGGAGCGCGCGTAGACCACGTGGTCGGGGGTGAAGGACTTGCGCAGCTTGTCTCGGGAGGTCTTGAGCTTCTCGCGGCGCTCCGTGGGCACCAGGCGCGTGCCCAGCTTGTTCATGCGCTTCTCCAGCGTGTGCCGCGTCTTCTCCAGGTTCTCCTTGGTCTTGAGGCGGGTCTTCTCCAGGTTCTCGCGGGTGCGCACCTTGGTCTTCTCCATCTTCTCCTTGGAGAAGGCCTTCTTGAAGTCGTCCACGCGCCGCATGCCGCTGCGCTTGATGCGCTCGGCGCGCGACTCCTCGATCACCTCCTCCACCTCCACCGCCTCGTCGGAGGACAGCTCGATGGCCACGTCCTCCTCGGGCCGCTCGCCCTCGCCCAGCTCATCGCCCTCCTTCTCCGGCAGCGTATCCGACTCTTTCAGCGACTTGCTGATGCTCAGTTTGGCCGGCAGTTTCACTTCATCCTGAAGGGAGAGCAGAGCGCAAGAGGTTAGTGGGGCTGGGCGGGGGCTTGGGGGGACGCTGGGTGAACCCAGGCAGGGCGGCGGTGATCGTGGGGAGTGCGTGGTACCTATGAAATCCACCTGGACTTGGTTTGCCGGTTGTATCCCCAGCGCCTGGCACCTTGTTTGCGCCCCATGAATGCGCTGAATGAATAATTCTGTACAGACAGGGCAAGGAGGGAACAGAGCTTCGGGTCGCAGATTGGCGTGGAGTGTAACTGCACTTCAGTTAAAAGTCTGCAGCGCTCCAAACCTGTCCTTGCGCGCTCCAACCGCGTCCTTGCGCGCCGCCGCCACCTTTCTTACAACAAACCCTTTCCTTGCCATAGGAACACAACTTAGCTTTGGAAATGGCCAGAGCGCCCTCTGGTGTCCTAAGTCACACATTGCCCGGGTAGAAGCAAAGGGGTTTGCCAAGCGTTTCTTCAGGTTGAGGGGTCAAGGAACGGAGATGAACGCGTAGCCAGTATCAGGCGACCCCCAAGTAAGGTAGCTTGAAGGCAAGGTAAAGGGAGTGCGTTTCCCAGACTTCAAGCCATTTCAAAACAAGGCTTAGGGTAGAAGAGCTGTGGTCCATGCCCCCCTCCTTGACCTCATACAGTTTGGCTCCACCAGTGCCTTTCCCCCTCTCTACCCATGTAGAAATTCAGAGTAGCAAGAGGAAAAAGCTGGCTGGCAGCTAAAGGAATATTTTTTCCCCAGCACGGATACTTCTTCTGGTTCTGACTTCCCTACTTTGGGGTAGAAGGGAGGGATTACTTTTCCATTCTTGCCCCCCCC